TTTCGGTCTATCTCATGCATCATTATCATTACCTGTCCACTAGTGAATATAGGCTTCCCTCTATTGGGGAGTATTTATCTTGTATATGTGATAGCTAAATCGAAATATGGTAAATTTATTCACTAATGCGTAAACCTATTTCAAGATGGCGAATTGGCAATGAAAAAATTAAGAAAAGAAGTAAAATAAAAAAAAAATATATATACGAATTATGAGATAAAACCAATTTTATTATTTATAATGAACGTGTCATAATCTTTTACGATACGGATGTCATAAAAAGTGTTATAATAAGACATTTAAATGATAATCTAAAGATATTTATTAATAAAAAAACTTTTCAACCTAATTTTATTGATATACTAGCGGCCCGTCCCGGCGTCGCACGGGTGGACATTTTAAATATTTCCCTTCACTGCTCTGCTCCTATTGATCGTAGCGCGATGAAAAGTAAACTATAATCTGCCCAGGAGTATAAAGAATAATTGTACCAAGTTTCGTTAAAATCCGTCGAGTAGTTTTTGTTTCTATAACGAACATACAGACAGACAGACAAAAATTTTACTGATTGCATTTTTAGCACAGTATCGATCACTAATTACCCCCTGATAGTTATTTTGGAAATATATTTCATGTACAGAATGGACCTCTCTACAGATTTATTATAAGTATAGATTATACATTAGACACTATCTATCATCATAATAATCTTTAAGTTTTAATTTTAACAATATATATATATATATATATATATATATATATATATATATATTGTACTAAAAGAACACAATTGATTTAATAAAACTGACCGTCAAAACTTTATGTCAGCTAAAATAAGATTTGCTATAAGTGCACAAATTAAAAAAGATTTCAAGAGAATTCCGAACCGATTCGACAATCAATCGATTGCCGATCTAATCGATTATATCCTGCCCCCGTTCCATTATAGAAACAATAAAGTGGCAAGCGCTGCCTCACAATTTTATAGATGTTAATTGTTAGTTTTATTAAGCGTCTTCTTTGAACCAACCCTTTGCGGTTGTTAAATATAGTTTTAAACGGCATCTTCGTCCGAGATGGGTGGCTAATGGTGGATTTATAACTATCGGTTTTGATGGCAAGCGATTGTATAAGTTTTACTGTCGCGCGAATGACGATTGATTACTCGGTATTGTGTTAAAGTTGATAGAAAATCGTAATTGGAAACCTAATTGACTTGGGCTCAGTTCGTTTTCTTTCAAACATTACTTTTTTTTTTATTTAAAAGGAAGTTCGGAATTTGAAAATTATTAAATTCAAATAAAAATATATTGCTTCGAATTTAATTCTCGTTTTTGAATTTGGAATAGATTTACTTAGTTGCCAGTATGCGAGTGATTTGAATGGTTGTGCAGTGCCTACTATCAGGTTTATAATCCTCGTTGTCAAGTGTTAATATGTAATTTATAAATTATTAATGATTACTTTAATGTCCCATATTCATTTTGTTAAAATTGACACAGGTTCCAACATTTCTGTATACTACTACAATATTTTACCTACTAAAAAATAAAAGTACAACAATGACTTTTGCATCGTTTCTTTAAATTTGGAATTCCTGTAAAAAATGCTCGGACACTCTATCTAAATGCCATTAATCTATGATAGTTCGGTAGAAGTACTTAAGTAAATAACCATACAAATTTGTCTAGAGTCAAAGCTAATTACGTACACATGTTTATTCTTAATTTACATAAAAAAAATTCACCTAAATTGAACGCCAAAACAAATATTTCTCTGTGACTACAGAAACAAGCTTCTGTTCAAATATTAACAAACATAATACATGAACAGAAGCGTTGGAATCGAGCAAGGAATTAAGTTCCTCTAATCGATAACTACATTGCGAGGCACGGCATATGTAAATTTGAATACGCTTTTTAATCAATGTAAAGGATTAGTGGGCACTTGGTTTATAACAAACAATACTATCGGGACACAACATTCAAATGTGGTGTATCGGACGGACACATCGGCGACCCTTCGGTTCCTTGTACTCAAATGAATATTTATTTCGCATAGTTTAATGCCAACATCTATTGTTCATAATTTGTCGTTTACATGCTTTGTATCGTCTGAGTACAGCATGCTAGTATCTACGTCTATTTTCGAATAGACATTTGCACAGAATGCCATCCTTAGTTCCGTTACGAATTTTGAAATGCGAATACGGTATTCTATTTTTTTTTAACTAAATTAGTGATTTGAAATCAGTTGTTACATTCGACGCACGCTTTCTCATAGTACAATCATGAAACATCGATTTGTTTACTAATTAATTAGTAATTTATCTTCAAGTATTTTGGATTGATTTAAATAGATCATTATTGATTAACTATCGAGTTTTAGTGTCTTATTATTATAATAAGACACTAAAACTCGATAATTAAGTTCATTGTTAAGTGCTAATAATAACAATTCGTTATGGAAATAAAAATATAAATTGGTACCGTATATATATTAATTGTACCGATTATTCGATTCGATACAATCGACTCACGTTCTTGAACGTGCTATAATTGACTTATCGCTGACACATGACAGGTGTAGCGAAGTCGAATGTCATAGATCGAATCATTATCTATGGTATTATTTGAACATGTAGGTATTTTATTTGTATGCAAATTGTGTTTCTATCTATTGATAGAATTACGTAAGTACATTCAGCATAGAATATAAATTTATTTTGTATTTTATCATTGAGAAATGAATTCTATTAAATACGTAAGAAGGCTTAGAAATTCTATAAACAGACTCAGTTTGACTACGATTTTTTTGATATTTTTTTACACGATGTTTGTAGTGATTGTAATTCGACTTTAGCTTTTTTAATTGAGAGGATTTTTAAATGATGGTATCATACTAATTTGTTTAATTTCAAATAGATTTTCTTGTTTTTTTTTTTTGTCAAAAAGAATAATAAATATTAGTAACATATTTAAATACAATTCTATTTTTATGTAGTAATATATATATTGTAGTTCACTGTACTCGTACAGTTTAATAGTACAAAAATGTTTCAATAATGGAATCGATAACCGATTAATTACCCACAGGGCCGTAGCTAGACCCAAGTTTAAAGTAGGGCAAAAGAACTTTTTGGTAGGGCAGAAGGCATAATTAAGTGACTTCAAAATAGAGAATCTGTATTGTATTGTAAAATCTTTATTGCACATAAATCATACGGAATACATCAAAAGATTTAATATACAGTGGCGGCCTTATCCCATAAAGGGATCTCTTACAGTTAACCTTTGAGAAGCTGAAAGAAATCTGTCTTATTTTCTTGGGGCTTTTCATTTTAAGGTAGGCCATTGGGCCTATTAAAGTAGGGCATTGCCCATCAATGCCCCCCCCCTAGTTACGGCCATGATTACCCACACTTCAAACTAATTTATAATGTACATACCTATAATACATAATAGAAAAAATAAACTAATCTATTCCAATTTTAACCGAGTAGATATTTTTTACTAAATATCAACTCGCAACTTGTCATTTTAAATTACTCTATTTCCGAATTAGGCTTATCTGATTGGTACGCAATATGTACATCACAACTATTTATGACACAGTAATAAATATGAAATATCGCCATGTCGGTCCCGGCATAGAATGGACCATCTCTTACTTTCCCGTGGGTGTCGTAAGGGAGCTTATGATGGAGGAATGGGCAGCGGCGTCCCTCTTAAAACATCTGTAAAAGCCTAACTGCGGTTGCCAACCCGCCTGCCAAGCGTGGCAACTACTGGCAAAACTCCTCTTATGGAAAAGGCTTATGTTCAGCAGTGTACAGTTAACGACTGAAATTATAATAAAAAAAATATGAGCATAAAAAAAAAAGAAAAAAAAATTATGCTTACAATTCTGCATGTGCAATTTATAGCGAATAGATACAAATCGATGTCGTAATGTAATACAATACGATTGCTCGATTACGACGAACGCTGATCAGATATTAACATATAGAACAATGGTAATGATTGTTCATGATCTAATCCATAGAGTAGGCGGTGCACACAGAAGCGGCACGCGATGTAAACTCAACTAGTTGTCGGAAAGTAAAACACAATCTGTACTTATTTATTTACTTAGCAAAAAATACGACACTACCAAATCTGTTTAATTTTTGTTCAATTAGTCTCTTTAATTCGACACAAATTGTAATCAAGTGACGTTATTATTGTATACAATAATTCTAATTTCAAAATTATAAAATAGAAACGGAATTCGTCGATATCGATTAATTGAGTCGATTTATTCAACACTAGAATCCGATTGTTATCAAAATTTGAAATTCGAATAATCAAAATCACAGCTCCAATCGATTTCTCATCACATTGTACATACGAATCAGATATTACCATACGAAACAATAGTTAGTTTAAACAATATAATTGTTGTGTGCCGATTGTGCGATGGAAATCGGTTCGACTAATTTGTGCCCCGGTCGAGACCTGTAGGTTAGGTGCGGTTAATTGCACATATAATGCGTAACTATTAATTGATTTTGTCCCTCCATTGTATAGGTTTATCTTTATTATTGTTTCCATTGAATTTGTAATATCTAAATGACGGTGGATACTTTAGAATAAAGATGGGGTAAAGCCGACCTATCGCCGTAATTATTCTATTCATAGATATAGCTTTGTTTTTAGGGTTGTGTATTGTACAAAGAAAAATATAAAAAAATATATATATATTTGATGCTAGACAATTGATCTCTTAACATCCTTATCTTCAGAATAGCTATCAAACTGAATAATTTCACCTTAGTTAAGCACGTGACTTTTTCTGTGTGGCCAGGATAAAAAATAGTGATGTTAATTATAATTATCCTGTGTATACCAAATTTTATGACCATTGATTGAATTGTTAAGGCGCCAGAAGGTACTACGTAATATACAAAGTAACAGAAAAAAATTGTTTGCAGGTTAGGCGCATCGTAACAAGTAACTCACCTGTTGCCAGAACTGTGCGAGTAGATATATCCTCTCTTTCTTGAAGAGCCAGTCCATCGAGTGCATAGCTTGCACCTCCGCCTCAGGTGCGGCGGGCAGACTAGCCGCGCCCGTCGGGTGCATCCGGACGCGCGCGCTCACGCACCTACACCCGCCTCATGACACGACCATCCGCGCACCACGCATCTCACTTTCGAATCCACCGCCCAACATTCTACTATTCGAAATTCAAAATTTGCCTCTTCCTTAATTGCCGGTGCGCTCGAACCGATTGTTACTAGCCAGTGTCGTAATCGATTGTTCTTTTCTATTCGGTAATCGCGTGTCGTGAATTATTTTTTTTCTTATTCTTTGTTCAGTTTTTGATGTTTCTTATTGTGTTGCGCCCCTGTTCGACCTGAAACAGAAAAAGGTAGTATTGAAAGGGGAAGTTTGCCATCGATTCTATTGTCGGCAGACAATCGGCCACTTGGCATTTTCGTGTCGAAACTAATTTGGTTATGCCAGGTTTGATGTTCAGAGCGATAGTGGCGGCAAAAGAAAATTGACAGGTTCGTGAAAAAATGCTTACTCGAAGCGAACATTGCACATTAGGGTTTGACTCAGCGTAATACGAATAGAAAATTCGGAACGTAGATTATCTGTAGTGTCATTATCGATTATTATTTGGTATTCGTTATGATCGGATACACTATTATTTCTTATAAATACACAATTGTAAAGAATACAGTCATACATAGTAAAATTGAAATCATTAGCAGGTTTTATAAAGTCAGTGGACTTGATTTCTTTTTAAAGATGGGTCGAAAAGTGACAAAAAAATTTGGGGTTCCTCCATACAACATAATACCTCCATTTGTCAAATTAGAAGGCTTTAAAATTTTTATTAGCCATTCCTTTAAGAATCGTGTTATCGGTATTTTTAAGTTAGGTCTAATATGGGATGGGAAAAGAGAATCGACTACTAATCGAAAACCTCTACATTTACATACATATTTTGCTTCATCCACTTTACAAATTCATCTCATCCATACACGCCGGTGATGGTATCAATATGTAAACAAATTAATAATAGATATCAGACAGTATTCTAGTGTCTGGGGGAAAGAGATTTTTTGTAATGGGATCAAACAGCCCCATTTCTAGCAACATACCCTAATAGATTGATCTCCATGGGCTTCTCCTTGGCAACCATCATGGTCAATTCTTGATGAATTAGTCACGATAGGCCAATTAATCTGCCTTCATCCTCACCTATCATCTCTTAATGGTGCCCCGCCAGCGTATACTGATAGCGCAGGCGAGGTTACCATTTCATCTTCACTCGTTAAATAAAGTCTGCTGGTATTAAATAGTAGTAACAAATCGATTAATAAATAAAAAATCGATTAATCGATTGAATGTTACGATTTGTTACTGATTTTATTTAATTAGTATTCCTGTGATAATTTCAACAAAGCTTGGCTACCTTCTCATTGAGGTCTATTGACCGCTGAACAGCTGTGTAACGCTAAGTTTTTCCTTATCGACCCTGATAATTTTAGTAATAAATAATGAAAATGTAATTCGAAATATTTTATGCATAGTGGGCGGTGATAACTAATTTACAATAAAATGGATTTATAGTAGTTCAGATTGCAATTTGACAACACGTAATTATGATTTTAACGATTAAGTTGAATTAATGTTAATAAGGCCGACAATTTAGTGATAAAGTATTATAAATCTTACAATTGTTTTAATATGAAAATAGGTATTTATGTTGTATTAAAATAATATATTTTTTTTAATTGTAATTATTTAATATATATATACAAAAATGGCGACTTTCATCATGGAAAAATTAGTATGCGTCTAACCCATCCTAACCCATCCTTTTCGATTGCAAATAAAATCGTTAAAGTCAATAGGGATGTAATAGTGTAATTAATACACATAAAATGCTGTTGGATTAAGAAACTCGTCTTCTTGAAGTTGCTTAAAAATATATTAACTCTAGTTTTTACCTGTGACTTTGTTCACAGTAGTTATGTTTTGTTTTCATCTTAATTATCAAATGTAATTATAATTGATGTGTGATGTGTGTGTGTGTGTGTGTGTGTGTGTGTGTGTGTGTGTGTGTGTGTGAGTGGTTAAAGAGCTAAGAGGAAATAAACAAACAATGTCAGTTTTACATTATAATATTAGTCACAATTTAACGTATTTAGTTATTAATTTACCGTTATAAAATATGCTAATGTAATAGTTAAAATGTAATAGTTAAATTTCCCAAAGGAACCCCCATCAGTTTATAATTACAATAAACTTTCATAATATCGATATAAATAATTGCATCTCTTTCGGTAGTTAAACAAATAGTGATAAAGAAGGAAAGAATGCGTCGGTACAAGCCGAAACAGCTAAAAACTAAGTTATCGCCACCTTAAAACAAAGAGCTGTAAACCGCGACTTGTAAATTTTAGTCGAGACTGCAAGTTATAAACAAACAGCGGATTAGAGTTCTTATAATATATAAATACATAATGAAAAAGATTGACTTGAAAAATAATTTAATAGATGATATTTGAAAGTGAATAAATTCAAATTCAACTTTTAAATCGTTATTTTTTTATAAACTAATATGATTATGATAAATTGTGTAATAAAATTGTTAATAATTATATGAGTTCTAATGCAAAAAAGAGAAATAGCAATATTTGAAGCAATTATTTTACGATTACCTTGATTCATCTAAGTCGCTTATTAATAAATAAAACATTTACATATTATTTTAATATAACAATTTATTTTAACGTTTTGGTTCACAAAAAAAAAAATAATGCAATGACTAACAAAAATATACTTATAAGTAAAAGATTCTCATTTTTGAAGTTAGTTAAAATATAAAATAAAAACAAGGATATTTTTTTGTTTTTAATTTTTAAAGTGAGCGAAGTGTCTTCAATTTTTTTATTAGCATTGCTTGATTAATATTAGAAATCGCTGTCTCCCATCGCTAGGACGGTGTACATTAAGGTGGCGGCCGGTGGGGTTGAAACTGTGAATTACTGGCGTGTCAATCAATAAACATGATAAGTGCGGGTGTTTCGTGCGCCGATATGCAAACAGGATTACACGGCCGCACGGAACGCCTTGGATCGATTCGTTTGTACTCGATGCCTGATATCGATATATAGCCAGTGGTCACTTCACTAGCCACTCGAATTACGATGACCTCATTTTTTAACCTCATTTTTAATTTTAAATAAAATTTAAATTTTATTCATAATTAGAATTTCCTTTTGTGTTAACGGCCAGTATTGTTTTATTTTTCTTTTGCTTTCGATTCGACACTATTGTAATTAACTTCGAATATACTTAGTGATGGATTTTGTAATTATTTAGGTCATGGTTTATATTACCATACTCTTTTTTTTTACAGTGAATGAGTCATTCCGCAAAATGAAAATACGGACGTATACAAATTATTCCCACTTCATACAGCTTTAGTATTAGTTAATATTCATTAGCAGGGGGTGGCCAGATGCGATAGATAAGACTCGACCACACGAGCCTATTAACGCATTGATATTGCCGACCGAATATATTAACTGTCTAACGTTGGTTAAACAAATCTACGGAATGTTTGAAATGTAGATTGAGTCTTCATGAACGTTCGGTTTTCTTTGCCTCGTATCTTATAATTTTTCTCAGTGGTATTCCTTTTTAAAAATATATTTCAATTGTTAAAAAAGAGGGCAATTCAAAAATCGAACGTCTTGGATTACTTATACTTTGTGTTACATGTAGTAGTGTTAGGACGGTTCACATATGAATTTCGACCCAATCGCTATCGGAATACGGATGATTGTGTTTGTACACTCGGTTTGTCAATCGGCAGCCATAAGTTTGTTATCGATAGTGATCTTGCGGAAGCGGTCGCGTGCGCGTCGCCACTACGCTCGGTTCTCCCGCTCTATTAACGGTTTTAACAACTTTATTTTTCGGCAATACGAATATGTCTTACAATATAAAATATAAATCGTTTGAAATTACCTGAGAATTAGAATTGTAAATTTGTCGTGTCGTTAAGTGGTTTGTGTTCCGTGCACCCTGTCTATCGACTTGAAAGCGGTTGTAATTGAAATTATTCCTAAGGACAGCGGTGAAATTATGCAGTTGTTGTGTGACAATGTATTGTGAAAGTATAACTGGAGTGAAGCCAAGAAATACATGTCAGAGCATGTTGATTTGGTTTTATTGAATTTTTTTTTTTTATAATGTAACCTATTTTTAATATTTTACGATTAGTCAGATAATCGTTGATTTATTTACTTATCAAGCGACATCGATAAACATTAAAGTCATAAAATTAAAGTAAAAGACTGACAGGTGCTCGACAATAACAGAACCGACACGGCCGCAAACAGTTTTATCACGGCCATAAATATAACAAAACTGTAAGATTGCCCTCACAAGCGTAAAACTTTATAAACACACCGATGGAAATAATCCTGTACAAATATACTGTTACATTTGTAAGTACACATGTAATTCCTAACACAAGTGGGCAAAGCTTATTTTGGTTATCATTTCGATTATCGAACATGCAACCGGCGGATTGTCGCGAAACAAAGCCGGTGGCGAACAGTAGTAAAAATCTATCGTGCATCGAAAAAGAGGTTCGTGACAGAAAAGTTTGGTGGTTCCCTTTCAATCGATGCCATTTAGTTCGGCATACCATTTTACTGCTTACACTCTAACCTAATTATTTATATCCATGCAATTCTGTAGATAGCATAACTTCGAAATCGAATGATATTATAATTCATTACCTATTGTAAATTACAAAAAAACATTCGAATGTCGACTTGCTGCCATTGACCTTTGACAACTTGATTGGAAGATAGATAAACGAAACGCTAACAAAGAACTCAATGTTGTATAAAGAAAGAGATTCGGAATTCAAAAATTGGAATCCGCAACGCGAGCATTCGAACATCGTTGAAACGTTCCATTTTTAAATTTCTTCCCCCGTGTATTTCTTCCTCCTTTTGTAGCCATAGACTCGTTATCGACACGGAACTTTATGCCAGATATTAGTCATATTCGATTGTCTTTTTCGATTTTCAGAAATCTGTTGCGGTTCCTCGTTTGTGCTCTTTGAACTGCACTCGACATTCGGCAATTCGATTATTTCATTGCTGTTCTTTGATTGATGGATTTACGTTGGTTTATCCCGTTCTTTGTTATTGGATGCGAGTGGTTTTCGAGCGTGTGTTAAGTGACTTTATCGTTAAATATAATCGAGTTGTAGGTGAATTTATTTCGTCAATTCTAATTCGATTGATAACATCGTGTAGGCTTTTATATTTAATGGTTCTCCGAATGCAATAACAGGATAAGTAAATTGTCAAA